AGGATGTGGATAAATACGTTACTTACGAATGTGGATCAAAAAGTAAAGCCAGATTCTTACCCAGATAGAATCTGCTCAGGTCCTCCTGGACCTGTGCATTTGGACACCTGCGTTTCCGGCACGAGCCTGCACTCCTGGGGATGGGCTGTTTGAGGACTTGTAAGAGCATCAGTGTCCTGGAAGAGGTGAACACAGTTAGCTCCAAGTGCACTTTGTGGTGTCTTCAAAGGACTCCTGTTAAGACCTGCAGGAGGTTGGAGTAGGGGTGTCAGGAAGGCTTCACGGAGGGACTGGCTTTTAGCTGGGCTTAGACGAATGCTTAGAATACAGACAAGTGGAGACGAGAGAAAAAGTGGTCGGTCATTCCAGAGGGTGAAGACTCCAGAGCAAGGTAAGACCCAGTATGCTGCTTCTATTTCAGATGGAATGTAAATTCAAGAACCTGGGTCCCTTAAAAACCCAACACATTTCGTCAATTCTTTTTCTTCTTCACTTTTTCAATCTCTCTGAAATTGGGGCGCATCATACAATTAACAGATTACGTGCAAAGTTATGATAGTTTACTTAGGAAAAACAAAGTAGTCAGTAAAAGAAATTCAGGAGGTAGGTGACAGTTTAAATACAAACCACACATTAGATCTGTTTAAAGAGAACATGTTGCTTATTTTTCAAAGAACAAGAAAGAATGTTGAGTTTAACAAGTTGGAGTGGCTAGCTTTTTGGGGAGAGAGTTTAACATAGGACAGAGTGAGACCAGATGCCTGGGTTCTGTTGTTTGGTTGTTTTAATGGTATGTGTAATAGTGAGCAAGTTGCTTCTTTCTGTGCTTTTTTTTCCTGTTCATTATCCTCTAGTGCTTGGCTGGCGGGTGGGCAGTGCCCAGCATCTCTCACTTTCTAACATTTTCTCAGCCCGTAAAAGTTTCACTGGCCTGTGTCGCCAGTGTTTCACAGCCAAAGAGTGTTAACTGGCAGTGGGCACCCTAATTTGAAGAAGGGTAGCGGGGGTGATGCTGTGTTTTCTGTCTATATTGAAAATCATCCTTCGAGCTCGGTGATTTCAAGACAGACAAAGAAATTGAGCTTCAGACACATTAAGAGTCCAATCTCAAGCTTCCATCCAGGGTTCTTTCCAACACACTTGTTTCCTCCTGATCGGGGACTGGAAACGCTGGCCTGTGAACCAAATCAGCCACCGCCTGTTTTTGTAAGTCAAGTGTTGGAGGCGTGTGGCCCCCGCCTCGTTGACTTAGGACTGCCTGTGGCTGCTTTGGCGCAGTGCTGGTGGAGCTGAGGAGTTGCGGCAGAGACCAGACAGCCAGCAAAGCCTAAAATACCTACTGCTTGGCCTTTTACAGAAAACCGTCTCTGGCAAACTGTTCCCCAAGCGCTGCCTCCTTGGATGTGCCGGATGCTCAGACTTACAGGCGATAATGGAGGATGCAGAGGCAGAAAACACTGTACCCGCTCTCAAGGGACTGCTTGCACTTGAGAGAATGAGGCATGCCTAGGGCCAATGGAAGGGATGATGGCAAGTGACATAAGGGAGCTAAGTCCTGGGCTGCAGGCTGTCTGCAGACCAGTCCAGTGTGGTTACACTAGCATCATTAACATAAATGAAATACAGCTAAGGAAAAGAAAGCGTAGCTCTGCCGACGTGAATGATGTAGGTAAATCATTCACTCATTTATGCAAAAATTATCACGTATCCCTGTGTGCTGGGCATTTTTCTAGGTGACGGGGTACAGCATCTCTCAGTGCCAAACTGTGTGTCTTTGCTGGCGTAAGGCAGTAGCCCTCTTGTGTACGCCGCCGCACACGCTAAGCTCCTTGCTTCAGTTTTCAGCTATTGACAGCTAAGTTTTAAAGGAAAAAAATTGAAGTTGTTTCGGCTTTCTCTTAAAGTTCTTCAATTCCATGAAAACCTGAGTTACCGGACTTCCTGTCTGCCTGTCCCTTTCTTGGCCTGAATCCAAAGATCTGCAAAGGAAGCAAGATTCATTGGCAAAGTGGCTTGAATCCATGCAACCCATGCATTATCTGCCTCACAAAAGTGGGGGCTTTAGAGGTCTGTACGGATTTGGTTGTTCAAACCCATCCATCCAAAGAAAGAGTATTTCTTTTCTTGTTGCATGCCTCACCACCTCTGCTCAAGTCTCGATTTTCTTTGAAAACACAAACTTCTTCGTGGTGCGGGAGGCTCTTGTCAGTTAGTTGACCCCTTGGCAGAGAAGACGTAGCATCGTCCCCCTTCCACGTTCTGCCCTTCCAGCCCCCTGATGGTCCTGGCAGTCTTTCAGA